AGGCCCCTGCACAGCATGTACCACCGGCAGATAGAGGAGGTGACTGACATCCAGAAATCCTACCAGTGGCTGGATAAAGCTGGACTTAAAGTCAGCACAAAGGATATTGGCAGCACAGGAACAAGCTCTGAGCACAAAATCCATAGAGGCTGGGGTCTATCACACCAGGCAAGGCCCCAGGTGCAGACTGTGTAAAGATGCCCCTGAGCTAATCCAGCACATAACAGCAGGGTGCAAGATGCTGACAGGCAGGGCATACATGGGACGCCATAACCAAGTGGCCAGCATAGTATACAGGAACATCTGTGCCAAGTATGGCCTGGAAGTTGAGAGGGGAGTTTATTTTATTTATTTTTTTAGAATGAAATCAAAATTTCAAGACAAATTTTAAAATGTTATTTTGAGAAAAAAGTTAAATTTGAATTTAAGTTGAATTTAATCTCAAAATAGTATTTCAAGTTTATTCTCAAATTTGTATGTTGAATTTCTCATTGAAATACTATTTTGGAGAATTAATTGGAAATTTTGAGATTAAAGTCGAAATAGTATCTTGACTTTCATCTTGGATATCTTTTATTGTCATCTTTAATTTTAAGAATTAAGTCAACATTTCTAGATGAATCTTGAAACACTTCTACAAAAATGAAGTTGAAACAGAATCTAATTACTTTGGTAATCTCCAAGCTTTTCTGCCACTACAAGACTCATTTTGGTTTTGAGTGAAATTTCATTTTAATACACTTAAGATCCATGTACCCTTTGAGTGACTTATGGAAGCTTTATGTGTAGATTTACATATTATCCCCATTCAGCTTTGGCTGTAACAGAGTTGACGCTATATAGCAAAGATATATATGGGGTCAGTTATGCACCTTCCATATTTTATGGGCCTCTTTACTCATAAAAGAACTCAGATTTTATAAAACTGAAAGACTAACCAGTAAAAGTGACCATAAAGAAAGACCAGATTTTGACATATATTTTATGAACAAAGCATTTCTGTCAAAGTAACACAAAAAGGTTATAAAAGTTCCAGCTTACATAATCTATAAAAAATACAGTGAGGATAATACTTGCATTGCATTTAGATGTGCATTTTTAAATAACAGATTTAGACCATAGAAAAATATCACAATTTGACACAAAACAAGTGTCTCAAAACTTTTTCAGTTTTCGCAAAAAGGTTATAAAAGTTCCAACTTACATACAAAAATATACAGTGAGAGTAATACTTGCATTACATTTAGATGTGCATCTTTTTTTAATAAAAAAAACATAAAAGCTATTCTTCAAAAAAATACCCCCAGATCTTCAGTGGGTCCTAAGTTGGAAAGGCTTAATCGCATTTAGTGGACAGGCAAGTCAACACTAACCAAGGCCATGGTGGAAGATCTCAGGCAACAGCCAGGGTCACATGGCGTCAGCAGCAGATATTGACAGGAGCTTCCTAAGGCCTTAAAAACCACCAATAAAATCTTCATATTAGTTCTACAACTAAAAGGTAGCCAGTGAAAGCATGTGAGGACTGGTGTAACATTACTGCTTCTTTTTCTATATATTAAAAGCCTGCAGCAGCATTTTGAAGTCTGAGGATGTTATGATGAATGCTGTAAGAGTTAACAACATGACAGCAGCCAAATCTTCAAGAAATACAAACACGAATAACTTTTTCTGAGTTGGAGTGAGCAGCTTAGAGCAGCTTATTCAGCTTAGACAGATATCTGTCTAAGATGAATAAAAAAAGCAACTGCATAGGTTTAGACACGTGCAAATCAAAAGAGAAATTGGATTCCAACACAAAAAGTTTGTGCTGGGTGGAGAGGGTGTAAATACAATAAATTCCATTATTCCATTTCAGAAAAAAAATTGGACATCCAGTTCCTTCCTTCCAGATTGGACATTATATCCTGTTATGACGTCTCGTATATTGAGTTTGTTGTGTATTGTCTGCAGAGAAGTGACGATCTTGGACACGTTAGGCCAAGATGTGCCCAAGAGTTAGCATGTAGCTTACAGCAGATGCAAATCAAAGGGGACCCAAAGTGGAACCCTGTGGGACTCCAGAAGAGAGAGGAGCATAAGAAGATAAAACTTTGTCAATCCGTACAGAAGATTACGTGTTTAACGCATACAACATGATTTGAGGGTTGAGGTGAGGTCAAGAAGAATTATTAATATATGTTGTTTTTGTTTTTAAGTTTTTTAAGGGGGTAGACTGCTGCATGTTTGAAATAGGAGGAACAAACCATAGATAACAGAGAATAATTTATAATAGTTAAAATATCTCTCAGTTTGAGTGCAAAAAACAACATCTGAACTTAAGCTCTAAAACTCTGAACTAAGAGGAGGTGCAGAGGGAACTGTTACTCCTTCCAGATCAAAGTGTGGTTCCAGGGTTGAGAGGAGGGGGTCTGAGCTGACTGAGGAAAAAGAAAAAGAAAAGAAAGGTACATTAGATCAATGAGCAAAATGAGTCAGCCTTTCTCTGGTTTCTGGGAGTGCATGGGGGAATTCTGTTTGTTTTTGTACCTCAGGCTGAAATGGGTTCACATGGATACTTACTTCATGATATGCCTGTGAAAAGAAAAAAATATATATACATCAGTCCACATAGCAAGAAGGATTTTTATAGTGATAACATTTTGTCCTACTTCGGTTTTAAGGGAATTTGCACTTAAAATTTTGTGGCTACAGTTTAATGCTTTCAAGTAAAAAGACAATATAGCTTCATAATAGATTTTGTGATTTATGCTGTGTTTTTTACCATACCTTCTATTTGTTTCTTTTTAAAGTTTTTTCATATGAAAGAAACTATACTGTGGTGGGGATTGCTAATTTCTTGTTTTTGATTTATGTATGTTTTGTTTTGTTTTGCTTTACTTTTGTTTCATATGTTGTTTGTTTAATTTAAGACTAAAAAAAAAAATTTTATGAATGAGAGGTAAAACTTGAGGGGGTAGGGACAAATAAGTAAATACTTCTACCTACTCCTTTTCAAACAAATAATGGAATAATATATTGTAATGTTTGTGAAGGCTCATGTTTGAAATGTTTGAAATAAAAATGAACTGAACTGAACTGAACTGAAAAGTAACCTAACTCTGAAAATAATTGTAAAATTAACAATCATGATTGTGTGGAAAAAACACATTACAAATTGAGCTATTATATGATTTCGGCAGGCAGTTGAGATGAGACAAATGGCGTGTGTGTGCTGTGGAAAAGTAATAGTTTCTTTTGTTTTGTTTTCAGAATATTTGTTTATTTCTTAAAATTTCTTCGTTCCATTAGAATTCCTCGAGCACAGGCTGGGTACAACAGTACAGGCCATAATAAGAAGCTTTATTGCTAAAAAAGACTGACTGAAAGAAGAAACTTCATATGCAGGAACAAAAATAATGATCAAACAAATATAACAAAAAAGAATCATTAATATCTCAATGTTTCTGAGGCAGTTAGATACATTGAGATATTAATGATTCTTTAAGATTCTATAAAATAAGACTTACATAAAGAGAAGACACATCATAGCAAACGCATGCGATCAGCAGGCCAAAACACAAAGATTACTTGTTTTCAAAACAGTATAAAAGTATAAATCAAGCTTTACACCCACCGGTGGCTCAGACGAGGTACCCGTAGGTTGTTCAGAAACATGAAAATTCATGGGCTGACAGGACCAATATGGAGGAGGTGGTTCACCTGAATAACGTTGACCTGTAGGTTGATCCTGATCCTGTAATTGAAATAAGGAAATTTAATTAAATATTAAAACAGCTGTTATTAATCTCCACTTGCAAGACTACTTACATGATAATATACATTAGGCTCAGGTGAGCCTTCAGTCTGAGAAGACTGGCAGTTCATTTTACAAGACCAGCAAATGCAGATGATTCCAATGATGGCAACCAAGGCAATAACAGTGAGTAATGTACTCTCTGACATAAATGCTGTAAAAGGACAGACAAAGTTAGGGAATATTGTGTAGAGTGTGTGGGGCTGGTGTTATATTAGGACGATTAGTACTTTTCCACCCATGAGGAGAAAAATGCTCTTTTGCTCACCTCGATTCGCTTCAAGCTGTCCACTCAAGGCCAGGTCGCCTTCTGGGTGTCTGAACTCCAAGGTGCCAGAGTCTATTGCTTCTACAGCATTCATTTCTATGCCATCCATGACTGTCTGAATTCTGTCAAAGAACCAATTATCTGACAAATTTATGATCAGACTGCCATTCATCAGTGTTCTGGGTTCCATTTCCCCTTGAGGCGTAAAAGTCACAGCCCACATCTTAATGGTGTGAAGGTATGGAACGACGAAGCGCTCATTTGTCTTTGCATTCAAGTGAAGTGTTAGTTCTGTTAGTGACACAGATCAGACTTCATAAGAACATCTAATTTGGTAAAATGCAGAAATCTCACATCAGCTTGTACTGCACACCTTGTAGCAGCGCCCTGTAAAGTTGTAGCAGCCATTGTCTGCCTGAGTGAGATAAGATAGCTCTCACTTATGTTTTTCCACCCATGCCCTACTTTTCTCTGAGTCTGTGCGATTCCACAGGATCTTTGGCTGGTCCAGACTGTGAAGGGGAATAAACTCCAGGATTTCAGCCCGTCTAGGGATAGAGTACTCCCAAGTATAGTAGTAATCCCTTGTGACCTTTTTGGCACATTCTTAAAATGCACATTAAGAAAAAAAAAATGGACTTGTATTTAGGAACAAGTAGCTAAACACATACCTATATATTTTTGATGTAAATATAAAGTACAGCCCAAATTCTCACCCAAGACTCAGTTCAACAACATTGTGACGCTGATGGCCACCAGATGACGGTAAATAAATTCCTTTATCTCTTTCTGTCACGTCTGTAAGATAAATTGAGCCAGGAGAGACTCTGAAGCGTGCGTCTATTGCCTGAAAGATAGACAGCACATATATATTTACACATTACCTCGGGTTAAAACAGGTTCTATTTATTGTCCTCAAAATAGTTTACTACTTTTAAACAGAAGCCTTAAATGTATCATATTCCAGATCTATAATAGTCACATAGAACCTGAAGCTGCTCGCCTTCCCATCTTTAATTACAACTTTCACAGATCCCTTTACTTTGATTGAAGTATATCGGTCCACTATAAGGTAAGGGTAATTAGATGGAAACGGCCACCTGCTGCCATAGCACACCTCCTCAGTTTGTATAGAAGCTGATGAGCCTTTACTAGCCAGTATGCACGAGAAGAAGAGACAGGTGGAGGTAGTGTTAATGTATAAGAATAACTCACTAATGATTTTGGAGAGCTGTGTGGCAGAAGAGGAAGAGTAGGGGTGACCCAGAGTAAAAATCCAGTAAAATATTTGCGTCACCTCTTAAAGTTTCCCTGTAATAACATATAAAAAAAGACAATATCAAAAATACAGTGCTGCAATACTGAAATTTGTGTGCAACAATATTGTAGGTGCGGCTGCCGGTGCAGCTAGCTTTACTGCTACTTCGCATGTGAGGGCTCACTTAACCGCGGTTTTGTTCTGAGGGTATTTTAATGATGTAAACTTGGACTGACACAAACGATGTGTAACTTTTTGCACACAAAAACAATACTTAAAAAACTACATAGCAAAGTTTATGTACTTACAGCAAAATAATAGTAGCAACGTATCTGACTGTGTATATGCTGTGTGCACGTCTCCACCAATCCGTCCCTGCCCCTGTAGCTCCTGGGTGGAGTATAAACAACCCCCGGGGATGCGAGGTGGGACGCTTCCCAGCAATCACGGGTGGAAACTCCGACGTCATTTCCTTGCTCATTAGGAAGAAGGGGGTCGGGGGGTCTATATATATATATGTTATGTTATATACTTGAATCTTCTTCTTTCGGCTGCTCTCTTTAGAGGGTTATCACATCAGCAAAAAATTATCTGCCTCCATCTCACCCTATCTCTAGCATCCTCTGTCACACCAACCCTCTGCATGTCCTGCTTCACTAGATCCATGAACCTCCTCTGAGGTCTTCCTTTTGTCCCCCTGCCTGGCAGCTCCATATTCAACACCCCCTGTCTAATGTGTCCAATATATCCACTTTCCCATTTAGGCACATGCCCAAAACATCTTAACCTTCCCACTTGCCTCTTCCAAAATGTTTGAGCTGTACTCCTCCACTGTTATCCTATTTTAACCCAAACCCATATTTGTCAGATTATTGCAAAGGAGGAATTAAATCTGTCTGTCTGTCTGTCTGTCTGTCTGTCTGTTTGTTTGTTTGTTTGTTTGTTTGTTTGTTTGTTTGTTTGTTTGTTTGTTTGTTTGTTTGTTTGTTTGTTTGTTTGTTTTAATGCATGCTCAATCATCCAGGTAAGGAAATCCA